AGATCCTTGGCAATAAAAAGTCTGGTTAAATTGCTCTGGGTCTTCTGATAAGCAAGAAGCCAGTCTGTATTTTCAGTATACAAATTTTATATATATATACACATAATATATAAATAAATAAATATATATATTAAAAAAGCTTTGGATTTAAGCTTTTTTTCTTTATTCTTTAATTCATTTAAGATGTTTCATGTTTCTCCTAAGCAAGCAATAACATGCTAAATTCATTTGAATAATAATAATATTTGTCGATTTGTTGAGATAACTGGACTCAACATGGTGCCAAAGTCCTTCAAGGTAAACAAAGTTAAAGACAAAATAAATGTATTAAATTAGTAAACTCACAGTTTAATTGTTGATGGAGCAAACTTCCTGAATTTGTGCATGGGACCAAGTATTTACTCCTCTATCCACTGAAAGATAACAGCTAAGCAAGGGTCTCTTTTCAAGTAACCAAGAAAGGCTGTAAAGCGAAGTAATTTTTAAAGTAGTAGTAATCATACCGCTAAAATGCGTGAGCCATCCTTTTCAACATAACATGGCCACCATCCTTTCATAGATTTTTGTTCAAAGAGAGAGGCAGTCTTGGGAGCCTTCTGAAAACTGTCTGCCTTGTATTCTGGAATCATGTCTATATTGCATTTCTCTGGAATTTTTGCTGGAATTATTGTTTTATGTAAATCAAGTTCCACAAAACCTGCAAGACATAGAGATTAAAAAATAAGCATTGTATAATGCTACCAACCAAAAGCATAGTGGTTCAACATAAACCTTTTATCTCCAAGCATGTTCTAGAGGAAGAGTGATGAACAGATGTGTTACATTCTTATTTATCTAAGCATGTTGTGAGGCATGTAAGAGGCTGTGTTTACACCCATCTTGTTGGTATTGAAAGCATTGGTGTTGATACAATGCCTCAGCAAGCTGCCCCCCTCCTTTTTAATGCAACATGACTTGATATTTAATAGTGTTTTCCCCCATGTACCTAAACAGAAAATAACCAAGTACAGCAATATAATGCATATGTAATTTCTGGTAGTTAAACATATTATTTACCAAACTTTTTAATGATGGTTATCAATTGATGATTTGTTTCCAGTTTTTGAGGGCTATATGGTTTGCATGTAATCTAAAGATTTATCTACCTTAAAACAGGGTAGAGAAGTTTCTGCAGGGCAGTATCTCTAGGCTATCTTCTAGCTGACAGAAGTTGCGAAATCGTCGGCGCTTGTACTCGTGGGGGACTTCAACTTCCCTGACATATCCTGGAAGCACAACACAGCCCAGAGGAAGCAGTCTAGGAGGTTTCTGGAGAGAGTGGAAGATCGCTTCCTGACGCAGCTGATTAGTGAACCTACCAGGGGTGGTGCCCTGCTAGACCTTCTCTTCACAAACAGAGAAGGACTGGTGGAGGATGTGATTGTCGGGAACAGTCTTGGGCAGAGTGACCACAAAATGGTGGAGTTCACTATTCTTGGCGGGGCCAGGAAGGGAACCAATAAAACCACTGTATTGGACTTTCGGAGGGCTGACTTTGGGCTGCTCAGGACACTAGTTGGTGGAGTCCCATGGGAGGCGGTTCTGAAGGGCAGAGGGGTCCAGAAAGGCTGGGCGCTCTTTAAGAGGCAAATCCTAATGGCGCAGGAGCGGTCTATTCCCATGCGCCCAAAGATGAGCCAGCGGGGAAGAAGACCAGCCTGGCTCAACAGAGAATTGTGGCTTGAGCTTAGGAGAAAAAAGAGGGTTTATAATCTTTGGAAAATTGGGCAGGCCACTAAGGAGGACTATAAGGATGTAGCGAGGCTGTGCAGGGACAAGATTAGGAAGGCCAAAGCTCATTTGGAGCTCAATCTGGCTACTGCTGTTAAAGATAACAAAAAACGCTTTTATAAATACATCAACACAAAAAGGAGGACTAGGGAGAATCTCCATCCTTTACTGGATGCGGGGGGAAACTTAGTTACAAGAGATGAGGAAAAGGCGGAGGTGCTTAATGCCTTCTTTGCCTCAGTCTTTAGCGGCAAAACCGGTTGCTCTCTGGATACCCAGTACCCAGAACTGGTGGAAGGGGACGGGGAGCAGGATGTGGCCCTCGCCATCCACGAAGAACTGGTTGGTGACCTGCTACGGCACTTGGATGTGCACAAATCGATGGGGCCGGATGGGATCCACCCAAGGGTACTGAGAGAACTGGCAGAGGAGCTGGCCAAGCCCCTATCCGTCATTTATCAGCAGTCCTGGCTATCGGGGGAGGTCCCAGCTGACTGGCGACTAGCAAATGTGACGCCCATCTACAAGAAGGGCCGGAGGGCAGACCCGGGGAACTACAGGCCGGTCAGTTTGACCTCAGTACCAGGGAAGCTCATGGAGCAGATCCTCTTGGGAGTCATCATGCGGCACTTGAAGGGCAAGCAGGCGATCAGGCCCAGCCAGCATGGGTTTATGGAAGGCAGGTCCTGCTTGACGAACCTGATCTCCTTCTACGACAAAGTGACGCGCTGGGTGGATGAGGGAAAGGCTGTGGATGTGGTCTACCTTGACTTCAGCAAGGCTTTTGACACCGTCTCCCACAGTATTCTCCTCAAGAAACTGGCTGCTCTTGGCTTGGACTGGCGCACGCTTCGTTGGGTTAGAAACTGGCTGGATAGCCGGGCCCAAAGAGTTGTGGTAAATGGAGCCAAGTCCAGTTGGAGGCCAGTCACTAGTGGCGTCCCCCGGGGCTCGGTGCTGGGGCCGGTCCTCTTTAACATCTTCATCAATGATCTGGATGACGGCATTGAGTGCACCCTCAGTAAGTTTGCAGATGACACCAAGCTAGGTGCGTGTGTCGATCTGCTCGAGGGTAGGAAGGCTCTGCAGGAGGATCTGGATAGGCTGCACCGATGGGCTGAGGTCAACTGTATGAAGTTCAACAAGGCCAAGTGCCGGGTCCTGCACCTGGGGCGCAATAACCCCAAGCAGAGCTACAGGCTGGGAGAGGAATGGTTGGAGAGCTGCCAGGCAGAGAAGGACCTGGGAGTGATGGTGGACAGTCGGCTGAATATGAGCCAGCAGTGTGCTCAGGTGGCCAAGAAGGCCAACGGCATCCTGGCTTGTATCAGAAACACTGTGACCAGCAGGGCTAGGGAGGTGATTGTCCCCCTGTACTCGGCTCTGGTGAGGCCGCACCTCGAGTACTGTGTTCAGTTTTGGGCCCCTCGCTACAAGAAGGACATCGAGGTGCTTGAGCGGGTCCAAAGAAGGGCGACGAAGCTGGTGAGGGGCCTGGAAAGCAAGTCCTATGAGGAGCGGCTGAAGGAGCTGGGCTTGTTCAGCCTAGAGAAGAGGAGGCTCAGGGGTGACCTTATTGCTCTGTATAAGTACATTAAGGGAGGCTGTAGCGAGGTGGGGGTTAGCCTGTTCTCCCATGTGCCTGGTGACAGGACGAGGGGGAATGGGCTAAAGTTACGCCAGGGGAGTTTTAGGTTAGATGTTAGGAAGAATTTCTTTACTGAAAGGGTTGTGAGGCACTGGAACGGGCTGCCCAGGGAGGTGGTGGAGTCACCATCCCTGGAAGTCTTCAAAAGACGTTTAGATGTAGAGCTTAGGGATATGGTTTAGTGGGGACTGTTAGTGTTAGGTTAGAGGTTGGACTTGATGATCTTGAGGTCTCTTCCAACCTAGAAATTCTGTGATTCTGTGATTCTATAAGGTCTTTTTTGTGTGTGTGTAAACTACAGCATTCAACTTTGAAAATCGGTATTTGTCATTTTTAGAGCAAAACTTCAGATTAGTCAAAAGTGACTAAGTGCAAAATGTCTTGCAAGACTTCTTGCATTACATGTTTTATTGCAAGACTTCTGTTTTCCTATGTGTTACATAGTTAAATAAAAATACCATAAGAAAAAATATCCTCTGGTGTTAAGGAATCTCAAATCCTCTCAATCAATGCTTTTCACTGAACGTACGTAAAGGCCTGCCTCAGCAAGGATGCTGTACAAATCTGAATTAATAATAGCATGAAATAGATTTTTGGACCTAATTTACAGTATTATTTTAGCATTATTCCTTTACATAGAATTGAAGTACTCCTGCTGTAAGTTTTCATACACATTATGAAATTTCATACACATTTAAAAGTTGGACTTGGTGCTTAGGGACATGGTTTAGTGGGTGACATTAGTAGTACAGGGATCAGATGATCCTGAAGATCTTTCCCAACCTTAATGATTCTATGATTATCTTGCCGTTCACATGTTGTGGTAAGACTTACATGAATACAAATTATATTGGTTTACCTGCAGTTAGGCTTTCACTGAGTGAGTATCCATTAATTCATGAGCACAAGTTACAAACATTGTACTACTGTGTGAAGGTAGGAGTGTACTTGCATGCTCAGTAGCTAACTTTGAAAATATAGACTTTAATGCAATAATTTAAAATTGTTTTTATACCCTACTTTGATATGATGATAATTCTTAGAAATCTTACCGAGATAGTCATCCAAAGAGAACTTGTCATTATCCCATATCTGGATGATCAGTTTGGGTGGGATTCTGAATTCTGTCTTGTCAAGACTCCAAAAATGTTCCTATTTTAAAAAACAAAACACAAGTAACTTTTTAAAATTACATCTGAAAATTCAATTCTGTGGCCTGTTAGTAGTTGCGAATTCTAATGTGGGGTAGGGAAAAATTAAGCATCCCTTGACTTTGCTAAGCGGAGACTGCTGTTCCTTGCTCAAAGGAAAAATTGAACCTGCTTGCAATAGCAGCTTGAGAAAATTATGCAGAAATGAACCAAGCTGCCTCTATATGTGCAACAGACAAAATTAACAGACTAATTATGGTATGTATTCAAAGTATTGAAATCTTTAGAAATACTTACCTTTTTGGAAACTATACAGAGTTGCTCTGCTGGGAGATAGTCAAAAGGAAAAACAAATCTCCAGTTAAAGTTCCCTTCACCATCCAATGATCGGTAATGAACATCTGTTTTCTGCTTATTTTCCTCATTACCAGGCATCCATCTGAAAGTAGAGACAGACACGTTTACTGTTTGTAGTGGAACTACACTGGTATGCATTTGTATTTCAACCATGGTTTTGAGTGGTTGCAAACAAACCACGGGAGTTGCTCATGGATGGCTAGAGGCTTCTATAGACACATGGATGGAGACTTTCACATGCTTCCTATTTGGTTCAAATTTGGCACTGCAAATACAAACACCTGAACTGAACTTTTAATCTGCTAAGACTAGTACTCCAACGGCGGTGAGTTTTATTATTACTATTTTTTTGGAAGGATTAGATCGATAGCCTAATAGTATCTTGCTGTGTAGCTGTTTTTTTTTTTTGCTTTTTTTTTTTTTTTTTTTTTTTTTTTTACATTAAGACTACGAAATGTAACAAGATTCCAAGCTGTGTAGCACCAAAGCTAACACACTAGCTTGTCTGTTGCTTCTCACCTCTAGATTTTATTTTTTTGTAAGGCTGAATTTTTGGGATCTTTCACAACACATTAACTGATCATGCTATATCTCATGATACTTCTGTACTTATCTGAGGTTAGCACTACTTCAGAGTGAAGGGTGCACTGCCTTGGCTGAATCAAATCATCTTTGGTATCCATGTTCTTGGCAGTTCCAGTATATTCTGAATATCATTTATCTGCAAGTGTTAAATGACAGGATGCTCCTACCCTTTCACATAAATGTCACTCATTTCTTCCCCTGTGATGCTCTTTTCATCCAGAAGGACATCTTTGGTGTTCCAGACAATCACACGTAAAACATACCTAGGAGAGAAGATGTTTGGGGAAAAAGAATTGAATTGCCTCTGTCATGGCTACCAGATGATGTGCAATATGTATAGATACTCACTTCTTGGCTTTTCGGGGAGTGATGTTGAACGGAGGGCCTGGAGGCCCTAAGCTTTTAGGGAAAACATCAACCCACATCTGGAGCTTTCCCTGTATTAGTAAAGAAGATGAATGAGGGATTGTTTGCTGCATACGTGTTTATCACGGTAATTCTGTGGAAATGTCTATTGATTAGTACTAATTTCTAGCTCATTCATGTTAACAGTGTCAGAACTTGTACAGGCTTCAGGCACCCTTATGTATTTTGGCTTTTCTGCTTGCAAAAGGAATGCTCTATTTCTGCATTCAATAAACAGAAGTAAAACCAGTTCATAGTACCTGAGGGATGTTGGGCTGGAATGTGCTATATAAGGTCCTTGTCTCCACATGCTCAGGTACCAAACCCTGTGTTCTGAGGATATGAAGGGCTAGCCGCTCTTCACCTGGACCAAGATGCTGATGCAGTACTTTGTTAGCTTCTGAAACAAAATAAATGGAATAGAACAGGGGCTCATGACTCAGAATTTGCATTTGAATTTTTTTTTATAAAAGTTAAAATTGAGTGCAAAACTGCGTACCTTGAAGTCAAAATAGCTGAAAAGTTTTATATTTGTGTCAATATGAATTTAAGAAGGAAATTAAAGTAAACAAACTCACCAGCTGCCTCCAAAGTATAGTCTTGTCCCCCATAGTTAATTCTTCTACCATTTTCAGAGATGACAGGAGGAGCATAACCTTTAAACCTGGCTATGTTTTGCAATAACTGGGTTGGTTTCAGTTGATCACGCCATGTGTTCACACCAGAACTTTTAGGAAAACAACAGAAACATATCTTAAAATTATTCAACATTCAAGGTATTTATCAATTATCTTAAATTTATTTATTAGTTTTAAAATGATTCAGAAAGGACAACAACATATCTGGTTATATTGTCTGCTTGCATCTGATACAATTACATGATTTTGAACCAGCTCAATTACCTTTCAAGACAATGCTTTTTCTTTACATATCAAAATAACACGTTAACAGATACTTTCATATTAATTAGCATGAATAGGTCAGAAAACTGTTAAGTATGTGTTCACTGTATAGAAACAACACACATTACCATATGAAAAGAGAATTAAAATGTTTTATGTCATTGTTTTCAGTCAAGGCTCTTTTGAAGACTTTAAAGCTTAACTTGGAATTCAGATGATACAGTGAGCTCAACAGAAAAGCATCAGAAACCATACAATTGTTTTAACTATACAATTGAGATGAAGGAAGTCCAGATTTGTTACAGACAGTGGAGACCAGATGTACAGATATGACTTCTCAACAGACAGTATGACTTACATGCAGTACTGCTGCGGGATGCCACAGTGAGACCCGTAACGAGAAAGAAATCTGTTCTCAAGATCAATTGTGGTTTCTCCCACTTTTTCATCACGAGTCAATGTGTCATAGTCATAGACTGAAATTTTCAGATCTTTTTCTTGAGGTAAGAAGCAGCTGAGTTCATACATTCTAAATATAAAAGTCTCCAGTTAACACTGTTCCTCAGAATGTTTATTTTTGATATAAGATACTAAATGGATGCTTCCAGTGCTGATAATTCTAGTAGCAGTTACCATTGATACTCTACTTCATTATTTGTAAATATTAATATTTCTGTTTTGTACTGCTATGGATACTTCAACTTTCCTTTCTACACAATGCATTACTTGGGGTTTTCTGTGCAGCAGCTTGAAATGGGACTTGGAAAGCTAGTGTGGCTCTTTGTTAATCACACTGTTAAAATCCACTTTTTTTTGCATAATTAGAACTTCTAAATTTTTAAATCACAATACACACACAATAAATATGGTCCAAATGTTCAGTGTCTGACTAGAAGGGATTAGTTATCTTGCTGCCCGTTTACAAAAAAGACTGGAGAATTTGCCTAAATTAATTCTCTGAATCTACTTTCAAAGTATTCAGTCTGATGTTTGTCACTGCTGCTGAATGCATTACTTTTGAGTACTCTAGTGGTAAATTATTCTCAGTATCCTTTTTTGATTTAATTTCTAGTCTGACTTTTTAACATAGACTTCCAGATTCATTATAGAAGAACTTGGAAGAACTGGTTATTCATCATGACACCAAAGTAAGTTTCAGAACTAAAACTTTTTCCATATTTTCTAGGCACATTTCATTATTCTTATACATATAACACAGGGCAGTTTAGTATGTTGTCTGCATTTGTGCAGTGTACCCGTGTAATACAAAAAATTTAGACCAGTCAAACACCTACACTGTACATTGATTACAAAAGGGAAATACCTTATGTAACTTCAGTCACAATTGTCAGTATAAAACTGTGAATACAGCACTAGTTATTTAAGATAATGGTTAATCTCAATTGCATGACATTCTCAGAAAACATGAAACATTCTAAAATGCGGAAATAGGAAAATAAAATTTGTTACCTGCCAAAAACTGGGTTGAGAGTATTAGGCACATAATTATCTCTGTCTTCAATTACTTTTTTACCAAGGGATATTTTTATGTAAGGATCACACTATTTAAAGTAAGAAGAAATGTTATTAACAAGTAGTTATAAGACTAACTTTATGTAAAATATATTACAGCAGAGTTAGCTCACAGACATTCCAAAACCAAGTCTCACCAGCCCATTATTATCCTGGGGTTGAAGCTGCAAAGCTCGAACAATATAAATGCGCACGATACACTCCTGAGGCCCGCTGTCTGGTAGCTCGCGGAACTGGCGAGGAGGAGCTGGAGTAGTGGGATCATCAGGTAATGCATAGATTTTAAAGGATCCCTAAAAAGTAATACAAAGACTCAATCAAGATAAATGTCGAAAAATCTATATATTTTTTTCTTATTTATCCTATGCATACACACAGTTTTACACAGAAACAGGAAAATTATATCCTTCTTTAAGTTAAAAGTTGTCACTTGGAAGTCATTTGACTTTAGTGGGTTTTGGGTAAGACAGCAAAGGCAAAGTTATATCCCTAGCTGACTGAAATTGATATACTTCTTAAAAATTTCAACAGTATTACTTAGCTTGCTCCTGCTAAGAACATGTAATATACTTCATGTTTATTTGCCTTACCAAAAACAGTTTATGTTATTTTTAAACAGATTTTAACATTATTTTCATCTTTAAAAGTCATAAAGTCACAGATACAGTACAAAATACCTTTCACAAATTCATTCTACAAATGTACTTTGCTGAGAACGTCTGCAGGTGAAACTTTGACTCTGTTCAAGGGACTATCTGGGAAGGTTCTGTTCCACAGACAGGTTCCCAGAGACTGCATTAGCAGGAATGATATTTCTTTGAACTTACCACGTATCACATTTAATGTAAGCCATGAGCAGCTGTCCCTTCTGTGAAAAAAGGAAAGGCCTATACCTAAGCAGGTAAGAGCATTTGCATTTAACTCTGCTGAAATGTTTGCATGTAGATTTACTCAAATTATAAGCTCTTAAGAACAAAAGACTGCATCCAGCATTTTGTTGTTGCCCATTACCTGAAATTTACCTTAAATTCTCCAACCACTGATGGATCATCACCATCCTCAGTTTTGCCTCTGTACAGCTTAAATGTATCACAGAAATCTGTTAGGTTATTAAATTCAGGTACTTTCTCCAATTCACAGTCGTATACCTTAAAGAAAAAAAAAGGGAAAAAGAAAAGAAAACACACAGTTTAGAAATTAGCATACCTATCAGCTCCAACAGTGTGGTACTGCAACATGTATGGTATATTTGATGGAATACCTTAAGGAATTAAAGCATTAAAAGCTATTTTTACTTTTACATCTAAGTGAGTGGAAGAGATGCAATACTTGGAGAACATGATATCAGGCTTTATTTAGGCCTTGTTAAAAACAGAGTAAATAGCATTTTACAACATTATTTTTATTTTCTTCATTAGGTGTATTTAGATGAGACATGGAAGTGATCTGGCTTCAACTTTCAACAAAGGGACAGTAAAAGATGCTGTCCTCAGTCTGTCCATACTTTTTTTTTTTTTTTCCCAATCTGTAGGCTGAGTTCTAGGACCTGATTGGCAACCAAAAGATTAGGAGTAAAATTCCATTTGACTGAAGGTTAGACTAAAACGCTTAACTACAATTATTAAGAGAAGTATTAAGTAGAAAAGAAGCAAAGATTTTTTTTCTTAAAACTTTCATTTCACCATGTGAATTAATAATAAACCTTTAAATGAAATCATGTACAGCTAAATTTTGAAAAGTGTTTAAAAAAAAATGAAGGGATTGGCTCTGACCAGGTTGTGGGTCTGCAAACGTTGGCAAATATTCATTTATTTTATAAACAGCAATACCTTTAAAGTGTCATATCCTTTTTTAATATACTGTCCGCATTTTTCATGGTCTCCTGTTGAAGCATAAAATTTGCTCCACCAATCCACAATTTCTTCCTCCTTAAAAGAAAAAAAAAAAGAAAATAAATATTTTATTGGGTGTTGAAGCCTGTCATATCATACAGTAAAGCAGACACGATGAACAGTTAAAGTCAGGAAAAGCCAAATTCTCTAAAACTCATTATCAGTTAAATAATAGTAAAAGTTCATCTGCAAGAGTAATAGAATGTAAATGTTAAGGCTGAAAAGATGGAATTACTCTTACCTAGGGTTAGACACCTAGCTAGCTTGTTAGTCAACAGAGAGACATCTCCAACAAAGCAATTAATTACTGCTGTCTAGATAACCATTTCAAAGGACTGCTTTCTGGAGCTGTATGTATTTTTCTCCTCCATCTTCCAGCAGTGCAGCACAGTCTAACCACTTAAGTTTTAGATTGCTTAAGTCACAGGAAGTGAATGGACACTTAGCTGGTGCAGTCATTGTTTTGTCTGCTAAGGAAAAACACCATGAAGTCTGGGATTCATTGCAGGATTTGCATTCTTGTAAAAACTACAAGTGAATGTGTTGATTTATTTATTTTCCCTGGAGGAAAAAAATATGCTAGCTTGCTTTCAGCATTCCCATTTCAGTAACTCTAACTGATCTGACCATACATTTTTCCATTAAAACCAGTGGACATCATCTGTACCATGACAAAATCTAGTCAGTTAGTGGTCACTTCCGTAATGATTACCAAACGTGGTTAAAAAGAAGGAGCAATGAAATCTTGAACTCTTAAAAATATTAAGTCATGCAACCACTACATGTACATATACAATTTACGCATTCCACTAAAACTGTATTCCTGTGGCTTTTTTTCCAATCTTTACTTATTTATTTGAAACTGATACCACTTTATTTTTTTTTTTTCCAACGGAGTACTATTTTCTTTATTTTTACTCAGGGATTAGCATAGTAATAACCATTTGCCCCTGAAAACATACTCTAATTGGTAATAGTATTTATGCACTTTGTAATCTTTGACTGTCTGGATTTAAAGAGATTCTTAAACTACTATACAAATTACAGATCTTTGAATGTAAAGTTTTGAGGTTTTTTTTTTTTTTTTTCCTGTCCAGGTGTTATTATTTCAATCTTAGATATTTTTTCCTAAATTTAGCATTTTACAAGTTGATGGTATATTTAATGTTAAATACGGTCAAAGATTTCTGTTCTCATCCTAATGACTAAAATTTAGGAAGTGATATTGATATACTGATTTTCAGTTGAAGTTCTTATTTACAAGAAAGCATTTTGTAGATTTTTAAATATATTATACATTACCTTTTCTGTTAGCTGCTCATGAGGATCAATTTATATATAAAAAAAAAAGAACAAAATAAGAATAATGATAAGGAGATGTTTTGTAGAATTTAATAAATTAAATGAACTCTAAAAGCTTTGCTTTTTTGTATACAATTTTGCATTTAAAGTAGCTAATGTCAATAATTTATAACTTTTTAGGGATATTTAGACACGGTATAATTTTTTTTTCTGCTGTCATTATGGCCTGGATGTTAAAATTATATATATATGTGGAGCAGACATATGTATATGTGCTCCATATATATATATACATACATACATACATTTTTATCAGAAATCAGAGCACTTAACTGAATTTATTCTTTTCCAAAGTTCACATACATAAAATTGATTTTTGTACCTTTTGATTATCTACTTTATAGAACAACACACTAAAACAAGAACATTTTCCCTTTGTATTATCATTTTTTAGTTGTTTACAGCCTATAGAATTTCAAGAGTCTGAAAAAAATGTTAATTATAAAGTACAACAACAATCAGTACATGTGCTACAGATTTATCTGTGTAAATGCAATAATCTGCTCAATCCAAAATGCTTCACCTGTTAAATCACAGATACTGCAATTATGATCAGATATTCCATTTAGAGCAAGAATCATGCATCCCATTTGTAAGCTCTAATAAGCTAGTATAATTTGTGCCAGTGTTTGCATTTTGTCCATTGTATTTTAATTTAAAGGCATAATCCATAATTTTTTATGCAAAGCCAAGCAGAATATGCAAAACATTTTATGAGTACATGCCCAATATATCAATAGGTCATGACATTGTTCTGATGTATCATGTTCAATTACTTCCATTTTTATTCTGAAAATAATTATCTTGCAGGAATATTCAAGCCTGCTACATTTAGTAATCTTGTCTAACTTCAAAATGGAAATACATTTTTTTTTCAGGTTAACATAACACTTGTTTTTCTACAGGCAATTACAGTGATTTATTCTTAGAAGTTGTACCATTACTGATTTGCAAAATTCAGGAATTAAATTCTTTACCATATTTAAATTTGACTTAGCTTAAATGGTGTTTTGTAATGTTGATACCTTGAAAGGTAGATCGCATAACCGTACAATAATTGTTTGAACTCCCAATTAGAGCCTTTTCACAAAATATAATTGTGTAGATCTGTGAGTTACTCATTAGAGCATAACACTTATGGAGTTGGAATTAGACATTTTTTGGTTTTGTTACATTTGTTACTCCCCCCCCTTTTTTCTTTCCCCTTAATACACCTTTTTGAATGTCTCTTCAAATAATGCACTTGGCAGCTCTGGGTAGAAGAGGTTATGAACCTTCAGGCCATCTTTAAAAATTCCCCCAACAAATAATGAGTCTTCTCTATTTGGATACTATTGCTCCTAAAACTGGTAAGCAGGATGTGCTCATAGAATGGGGGTTGAAAGCCATTATGGTAAATTTGAGATTTTGGAGTGAAATATTCACATGGAAATAACTATATACCAATTACTGTCGTTTTTAAAATCTATCCATTGACTTCACTATGGATTGTTTTATGTGCAATTTTTGAGGTACTGTTAGCTTTTTGAACATCTTAAGTTTATGGAGGGAAAAAAAAAAAAAAGATGTAGTGGATCCCTACCATAGTCAGGGTTAGAATTTTATTTACAAAGCTGACTTTTGAACAAAGTTTAAATAGCGCGGCTCAATTATTCCTGTTAATTTGGGTGCTTTTAGTATATAGATTCCAAATAAGGCAATACAAAAAAATCCATGTTTTAGTAGTTCATAACTAACACACATACATATTTTGATATTTATGACTTTCCAAAGAAGGGTACCTTAATTTGTAACTAATCCTACTATATTTATAAGCATCATTTCCTCCAAAATCTCTCTATGGAATGATTGCTAAGAGAAGCTCAGCCTCAAGACTACATCCTGTTATCATTCTTTCCCCATCTGCCCCCATTCTGGTCCATGCATTAGCTCTGTACATACATACATGCACTGTGGTTGGAGAAGTCATTTTGCTGAGTGCTGTTGACATACTGCTTAAACACTGGAAATTGGAATGCAATTGATGTAATTTTGGATTTTTGTATTGTCCTTAGGGTATGGTCTGCATATCATTTATTCCTTCCTTATTTATTTCAACCTAAATTGTTTCAAATATTGTTTCCTTCTCTCATATGCATGTTATTACTGTGTCTAGTATTATACTGTATTTGTAGCATTTAAAATTTTCCCTATCATAGATTAAATCAGGTATTAAAATTCATAGCAGTATTGCCACTGGGTTCAAAGTGTTTTTTATTTAAATCTTTTTTTCTTAAAATTTCTGAAGGAAATAATCATCTGTACGATCTATAAAGTTTTCATATTAGAACAGAAGGCCTAATTCAGACGAAAATTAGAGAAGTCTTTTTTGCTATAAAATAAATATCCATTATACTTTCCATGTATGAGGAAAGTAAATATAAGATAATGTTCTATCAGACTTTAATTATAGTCTGAATATCATGACATTAAAATAGCAAGGAAGAAATAAAGGAAGAACACTGCAATCAGTAATGTTACAATAGCAGCGAGAGTTTGAAAGTTAAAATCAGTAGTGTTTACTTTGGGACCTCTGTAAATTAAAAAGTCTGTCTTTTTAAAAAATCAAAGTTGTGGATTAAGAGCCTACAAAATTAATATGTTACAGCGTATAATCTTAAAGCTTCCTTTATAGTAACAAGCTATCAGAAATTTACGAAAACACCTAACATTGTACAGTCCTAAAATTACTGAAAAAAATCCTTAAAAATATATTTTCTGGAATTTGCCTTCATTCAGGTTTCAATTCAACAGCAAAATTCTGCAGGTGGACTTATTTTTTTTACCTGTAAAGTAAGACTGTACTGTGGTGGTCCTGAAAGAATCAGAGCAGTAGTGTAGAGAGATTCACAAGGCACAACAGAACAGGAAAGAAAAGAGGTGTTAGCACAGGAAAAAATGTTTCAGTGTTAAAAGTTGTGGATGACTATAAGAAAATAGTTGTGGATGACTGTAAGAAAGGCAAAGCCATGACAACTTTAGGTTTGGGGTAACATGGCTTTGATTCTGTACCCACTAAAGCATAAACCTACTGCCTGCTCTATTTAAAGCTGTTCAGTCTGTGTGGGATCAGACTGAGAGATTAGACTGCATCACCAGTGGACAAGTGGGTAATGTTCTATTTTATGCTTTCCGTAGCCATTGTATGAATTCATTCCTAAGCTACTCGGTGAACTTTATCTTGCACAAAAAGCTATAGCTTGATGTTTACTATATGAAAAAAGAGGTCAAAATAATTAATGTATTTCCTTTGCTTTCCTGTCACAAAGAAAGTTTGCTTCATATCTGATCATTTTGTTTTCTAGATAGTTCCTCAGAAATCACAGATTTGAAGAAAATCAAGCATCAAATTTCAAGTATTACCTGGGCTGCTAGCAGTGGTTGTGCATCTTCCATTTCAATTACCGTATCCTGGCACGGTGCAGCAGAGAGTAGACTAACTGTAAGCCAAAGATTTTATTAAGGCAACACGATGTAGGAAAAGAATAAATTACTGAATTTAATTACTGAGTAAATTACTGAATTTAATTTCCATAGAATTTGAAATCCAGTTACATAAGATGTAAAAAAAATAATTGCCTACATGCTTGGTCCTCTAAAGAAAGCAATTAATTGCAATATTCTGCTAAAAATAGATATGCGGTATTTTTCTGTGCAGTATCAACAAACATTTCTCAAATAATATAGAATTACAAAAAGTAAATTTTGGAAAAAATACAGTGGAATATCTCAGCTTCACATTCAGAGCATTCTTGCTGGAATTGTTATGTTGGTAATCAGTGCAGTGGTAATCTCCAAGTAGTTAAGTTCATTCTAAAGCAGAACGTCAGGATCCAGTATGCTCATTCTGACAGTGGACTTCCCTTTGCACTCTTATACCCCCTCAGAGGTATACTGCACTACTTACTAAGTTATATGTATTTTTTTTCTTTCAGATCATACTATCTTCAAGTAAATACTCAACATGAGATGACTCTGTATGCTGTACTGAACAGTTAACACCAAAGGTTGATTATTCTAGCATCTCATAAGAAGCATAACTTTACATTCCATCTATTTACCTTTCATTTGTGGTGCAATGTCTTCTTTAGTAGTGTAGGGGTCACAGCGAAAACTTTCCAGTAAATCAATAGTACACTGTCCCACAATCGGTTTCCGTCCAAATGGTCTGTGGTCTATTACTTTAATAACAAGAGATGGGCTGTACAACTCCTCTTTTGGCAAAAGCTAAAAGTGAAAGGTTAGATTTTGTTTATACTGCAGACAGAAGGAAAATGAAAAAAAAAGATTTTTCTCCTACATTAGAGCTGATGCTACATTTATTTAATATTAAACTATTACGTTCTTTGGGCATATGGTAAATTAAACTTCTAACCTCATATTATGATTCAGTTAAAGTCAGTAAATAAGAATACTTCTAGTTACTGTAAATTTTAGTATTGAATCTTATGCAGTTCCCATCCGAGCAGCTGGAAAGTAGCCACACACCTATAGGTAAATTGGTGTCTTCTCAAATAAATACATCTATACACTGTACTGGAGCATATCAGACCATATAGTTTTTCAATATATGTACAGACATATTTACACTATCTTTGTCAGTCACGCTCAGTGCCTTGCTTATATTAAGTCGAAAAAGGACACAAGTTTTTCTGTTTGTGCTTACATAAACAAATCCTTCACCTTTAAAAGTATGGTTGTACTGGGTCTGGCTGGAATATAAAACCACCACAATGGTGTAACTGTTTTTGCTATAGATAGCCGGTATATAGTTTTTAGCAACGTACAACTTTCATGAAGAGAACAGACGATGGAAAATTTGGTGTCTTTTTGAGATTTTTGATCACCACAGATTCCACCATTTCACCCCCACATTCCACAATGAGACTAGGCGACATAACAGGTGCCAGTTGGTAGTTTTTCATGTTCCGCAGCCCCCAAGCCAGAATCTGTAAAATAAAATTCAATAAAAGCAAGAGAAAGAGAGAGATCAATATGCTTAGAATGATACTCAAAAAGATGCTCAAAAAATAGGAAAGAAGAAATGAAGTTTTCTTCACTAATAAAGGGTGACTGGCAAAACATTTCAAGGTTGTTTTACTAGGACAGCTAATGGAAAAAAAATCAAACTCAAAAATACTTATAGAAAAAAGTCCCACACATAGTTCTCATTATGATTTTTTTCTCCTGTCGCTGCAAACAGACAAAATTGCTATCTGGAAGATGAAGATGAGAGATGACTGCGCTTGCATTCAGTTACTTTAAAATTAAACAGTACCTCAACAGCAGTGAGTTGAACTACTGGTCTGATTCCCTGAGGTACCATGTAAAGCTTTGGTGCTCTTTGCGATGGAAGAATTGGAAGGTTGGTGCCACCCTGTTAAGACATAAGTACATAAGTACTATTTTCTCTCTCCTTCCTTAAATGAAATATCTTGCAAGTATTAAGACGATTCTTCATATTATAACTCGCTATAAAAGTGAGTTATAATATACATTATATACTATATATATACATACATAATATAATAATACATACCTTGTCCCTCAAAATAAGTTCTGCAGCAAAAAGAATGTCTCCGCTAGCTTTGCCATTATTTATTACAGGATACCAGAGCAGTTTTGGTGTGACGTCCTCATCTGGGATCAACTTCACCAGGGGAGAACAAACACTTCTTCCAAGGAACTCATCTTTACCCTGCAATCAAAAAATAGTAATTATAGTCGTTACTGTCAAATATGATAGGAACAACAATAATAATAAATACAATCAACATAAAAAGCTTTCACATACCACTTGGTCACTGTCAAACAGTTCAATAACTACATTAGGTGGATTCTCAGCTACTGTCTGTGGGTCACCATAGATCTCAATTTCATTAAATATGAGAGTTTGGTCCCATGTAGGATTTAGAGTTGAATGAATGATCTCAGTTGTTTTGCTTTGATGGAGGAAAGAAACATGAGCATACGGATCTGAAATATTATACAGAGATTGGAAATACATAGTTATAGACAACCAAAACCTTATGAAGGTATAAGCCACACAAGCACAATTATCTAATACAGTACCTTATTTTTGTTCTCTTCTATTATTACCAGTTTTATAAGCCATTCTATATTAAAAAAAAACCACTGTATACATCATTCACATTTAGTAGAGCAAATTCTACTTGATTACTAAATAGCTTCCTTTATACAAGTCATTATTAATGGAGTAATAAATGATAGTCATTATAATACCTTGCAAATTACAAAGTGAACTTGAAAACTAAAATGAAACGTTAACAATATGAAGCTCCTCTTAAACATGGTCTGTAGAAGCTTATCTTGTTGTATCCCTTGATATACAATGGTATTGACCCATAAATAATACAAGGAGATTGTTTCAGTTCTGACTGTTTAATGCCAAATCACATTCTCCCAGGCTCTATTGCTGAGATCAGACTTTGATTTCAAACATGCTTATTTATATCAACCCCTTCCTATGAAACAGCTGAATGATTAAAGTGGTCTTGGTCCACTGTTTGACAAGCCTTTAAATCATCAGGAGTTCTGCAGAAAGCATCTTAACAGTTCCTGTACAGATTTCAATTACTAAGGACCTGAGGATAATTAAAAGATTATCTTCAGATTATTTTCAACAGCTTCTGGCTAGGTACCTGACCAGAATGTTACAGAATTTGGCTAACTCTTCAAACTAGTTTTAGAGGAAAATAAAACACAGCTGTCTTGGTTTATCTGTGGGCTGAATCTAAGGTACGCATCTTGAATTCTACATACATAAATTAGAAGCATTTATCATCTTCTCTTTGTATTGTTCTTTGTATTCTAAACATTAATCTCAGTAATTAATTAATATAAAATACTGGACACTGACAGGAAGTTGCTGACATAACAGCCACACAGCTTTCTTCATCCTTGCTTTTATACAAGCTTTCTGCAGGACAGTTTAGAAGCAGCATGTATGCTTTAGTTAGAAGGAGAAGCTAGAGCATGGGGAAAGGATTGGTCATGGGCAATTCAGACCTCAATGAATTCCCATTCCCTGACTGAGAATTCCATTGGCAGCAGTAGGTGCTGCAGATTCAGACCACTTATTTTCTTGGCAGCATCTGGGGTAGTACAAACTAGATCTGGTTCATACATAATGAAGCTGAGTCGTCTTTCCTGGCATAGTTTCAGTAATGGGGAACTATGCACAGAACTTACAGATGTAAGATACTCTGTAAATAAATCAAATTAATAGGTCATTGCAAAAGTGTGTTTTTGCACCACTAGTGGGATTTTTCCATACCTGAAAAACTGTCTTTGTCTAAAGCCATGAGATTTCTTGCCTGGTAGACATAACAGCGAAGGTGGTAAATATATACTCCTGTATTAAAAAAAAAAAAAAAAAAGTTCACATATGTTACACAGGCATCTTCTCTGAAATGAAGCTATTTTAAGGTATACAAACACTTCAAACATTTTCTTAACTAGAGCACAAACACTTGTAACATTTCTGCTTTTCTTTGCTAGTGATAAGTGTATTAGTACCAATGCACTAGCAGCTGTGAACATTTGTTTAAACATAACTTAGAGCAGAAATGAAAAAAAAAACAACCACACACTATTTAGGCTTTTTTAGTGAATCATCATCTAAAACTCTTTCTACTCAAAAATTCTTGTTTGAAACAGTGATAATCTAGCTCCTCCAAACAGCAATAAGAACTGAGTATTCCTGTACTTAAATTAAGTATTCACTACAGCACTTGCACGGACCTAGGGTTTCACACTTTTTGCTATTAGATCTAGAAAATTATTCTAATTGCATCCCTCTCTGACTAAGAGATTAAAAATAAATAAATAAATAAAATTGTTGCAGGCACAGTGGAATAGCTCAAAATGAGGACATGAGGGAGGCCCTGACCCAGGACAACACATGGCTATGTTACTACAGATTTTCTCAGAGGATGTTATCTCCAACCCTTTCAGACCTTTGGAAAAAAATGACCCACTCTATCCACAATGAGCTGAAATCTCTGAACTCTGGCAGGAAGAGAGGCTATTTTCCTCCTATTGTGATCATTACTTGAAAGAAACAGAAAGATGTTTGTCTACATGGTCTTTCTGCTTACTCTGGGTCAGGCATTGGTCTGACCTTGGAGTTAGCTGGTAAAATGTGAGCTACACCAGCAGAAAATTAACTGTACATATATTTTCTTTGCTGGCTTAGCTCTCTGCATTGGTATGGAAGGATCCTATTGCTAAAATTGCGTCTTTTAATAGAGTTTAAAATTAAGCTGTTGCAATATTTAGCTTTAGAATTCCTGCCCCATAACAGTTTTACAAATGTCTGAGTGACACTGAACAAACTGAGATTACTTGATTCATATAACATTATCTTATTCCATTTTTTATATTAGAATATGATCTGTATATAATATAATATAAAATATATAATCATTTATATAATAATATGAACTGAAGACTGGCATATTGAAATGACCAACTGTATTTTTTGTTAGTAGGCTAATAAGAGCCTGATCAAGAATTGGATGGTAATTATTGCAAGAGGTGCATAAACCTTGATGTAAACCACAAGGAATCACAACTCTGAGATCGATGAGAAACAGACCTGATTTATAAGAAAGGAATTAAGAACTTACTGTCAAAGTAGCAAGAAACAAGTGGCGTATTGGCACCAAACACTTTCATAGCTGACTCTTTGGTTTTGTCTGAACTCTTCCCTTCGCCATCATCAGTACTAGTGTCTGCTCCCTAAAATTATGTAAAGAAAAAAAAAGTCACTGCATGCTTACAAATGCAGAAAGCACTTCATAAAATTGGACTGTATGTGAGAATATACACGTTTCAGTCTTTTATCCAGGATAAGGAGAAATTTACCTTCCTGAGTAAATGTACTATAAAAGATATTTACTCATACAAAGATAATTTCTCATTGCCATTGAAGCTGAGCAGAAATCAGATCCAGTCAGTTCATCTTCCTTGCCAGAATGTCTTATTGCCAGAGATAAACTAGCTACTTCTCAGCTCTTACTGCAGGAGAGGTTGTAGGTCTTTCTATGCTGCCCTGTTGCAGGGAAGTTCTCTAGGGCTACCCTAGCAATAGGATAGCCACTTGGACAGTGGCTATTTGTAGTCAAATAGAAATGGGCATTTTTAAACTCTGTAGCACCGAAGTAAGTGGAGAAAAAATACTATCACTGAAACATGGGTTGACATTTTGTGAAAAAAAAGAGAAACATGCTGAGAAAAAAAAAAAGCAAACTTGCATTAATACTATACTAAAATCATTATCTCAGAAAAAAAAACAAATGAGCCTTCTCTTCTAACGCTGTGCCTTACTATTATTCACTTCAATTTGTATCTTGGTAAATAGAGCTTACCTATAAAGCTATGTTAACCTGTAAACTTGAGGAATATTTATATTTTGATGAAATTTGACTCACAACATTCTGACTTGTCCTATACTTGGCTATTTTTTTCTTCTGCTTGGTCATTTGTACATGCAAATACACATAAATTATGTGCAGGGAAAGCTTGAGCCATCTTGTCACTTTATTTACCCAAGGATCATCTAGTCATTTTGCCTTTTGACCAAAGCCTCACATAATAAAATAATAAAATCAGTTTGAAGAATCAAGTAATAAATGTGTTATTCAAAAGCCTCAGTAGTTACTTCAGTAATCCACTTCAGACTTTAAACAATTTAAACAATATAAACTACATTAGTTCTCCAGTTATATATCAGTCTATGATTCAGGGACTAAAATAGGTGATTAAATTGTTATTGATATTTCATTGCTTGATTACTGAAAATTAACAGATTGACCTTTTAAAGACTTTATTGATATTGTGTTCCTTACCAAAGCACCTTCGAGTTTAAAGATAGCTGCTGCACCATGTGTTTCTGAGGGAGCCATTTTTCGTCTCCATCGTCTTCGACGGAAAGTGTCAGAACTGCGTTGTTTCCAGTGAAATTTCCAGCCAATCAAGGAAGCATATTCCCATCCTTCTTGATCTTCATATGATGGCACCCCCTGGGAGATGTAAATCCCTGTTATCTACACTATCGTATAAATATCATAAAAAAAGGGGAGGGGGAATTGCTCTAGAAGACACTATTGCAATGTGCAAGAAATACGATCTGTGATTGCATCTCTCTTCTGCTTACCCTTCCTGTTGTTACTGCTTGAGCTGGATCCCTCTTACGCTTCCGCACCAGTCTTCGTCGTCGGTGTGTATGATACATTTTCTCTGCAGCAACCCATGACTTTGGTTTAGAGTCTGGAGGAATAGTAATTCCATATTCCCATCCTAAAAAAACAACTGTATAGTTAGTATATTTCTAGAAACACATTCAAGATGCAAATAAGAAAAGCATGAGTAGTAGTTTAACTGCAGAGGGTGAAGATTTAGTCACAAAGAGCTATTTGATACGTCCTGTGAAGACATTCTGAGAGAGTTGGGATTGTTTAGCCTAGATAAGAGAAGGCTCAAGGGTG